CATAATTCTTCTTGGACCCAACTGTAACGTTAATAACAAGTGCTTACTCATATACAGTTCAAAACATAAATGTTTTGTATCCTTTCTGTCTCCTGATCCAGATCCCAGATTATAGGAATGCAGTTATTGTTGCCAAATCCCCAGATGCAGCTAAAAGGTAAATAGAGGTAAATCTTACTAGTTGGCCGGGAGCAGCTCGTTGAACTCTGGTAACGTTGAAGATGCCTGCGAATGGGCAGGGTGTGAGCTGAGACGGTAATCCTGTCTGTTGGACCCTCTTGACAGCAGGAGGATGGATTAACGTTCTCATTGCTGCCAATATATGAGGAGCGAGTGTCTGGATTATCACAACACTGACCTTTGCACGTGTGGGAGCTGAGACCCAGTGTCTCTGTTCCCAGCAGCTGGAGTACTGAGCCATTTCTGTTCTTCTGGGTGTTAGAGGAAGTCCAGGCTGCTTACATCTATTTAAGGGGTCTCAGAGCCAAAACTGGGTATAGTTAGACATGTCACTTCCAACCACTACTAATTTGGAGATCATAATTTGTGGGTAGCACCCAGATGAAAGGCTCGTGTTCAAGGTGCTGAGCCTGAGGATGGAAGTGATGTTCAGTCTTCTGTGAGGACAGCAGGAAGGAGAACACCAAGAACCTTGTGGAGCACAGAGGTAGAGAAGATACTGGGTGTTCGGGGTATGTGGGGAAGGATGAGCCAAAAATGCTTCTTAAATGCAAGTCTGTTAATGTGCAGGTTTAGTACTAGGGGGAGAATCAGGCTGGAAACTTACTGGTACATAGATCAAGTCTTACATTCCCCTGTCCAGTGTAGGGAAGGGTCATTCCATGTGATCAAAAAAAAATTGAACAAACCTCATATCCTCCACTTGCGCTTTTGCCTTCACACAGGGCCCAGTCTTATGCTGAGAGACTGCGACTGGGGTTAGCAGTGATCCATGGGGAAGCTCAGTGTACGGAGCAAGACATGGATGATGGACGCCATTCTCCTCCAATGGTCAAAAACACCACTGTGCACCCTGGCCTGGAGCTGCCCTGTAAGATTATCATGCTTTCTCCATTTCACTTCTGGGGTAGGCGCAGGGGTGGGAGCTGACCATTGGCGTAGTCCAGTGATTCTCAACCAGGATGTTGTGGCATATTGGGGTGCCTTGTGGTGCTTTCAAGGCTGCCAGAGGGTGAAAAACAAGTGAAAACTAAAAGCTGGAATTTTCCCAAATGTATCTTGAGTCTAATGAGGGGTGCCTTGAGTCTAAGAAGGTTGAGAATTGTTGGGTTAGTCTTAGTGGTACCACTGAAATTGATATTACAGCTAGCGTCATGGTGGCAAAGCTGTACAGACTTCAGTACAGAGACGCCAGTGGGCGGCAAAATCATTCATTTGAATGAAACAAAGTGGACTCTGAAGAGCCGCTGAGCAGAGAGATGGTTTTTGACTTGGTTATGAGAGCAGGCCTTTTCCTTTTTTGTGCTGCAGTCACCTTTTCCTGCCCGCTTCCCTCTGAATACCAGGGCTTTTCCATAGAATTGCAGTAGCCATTCTGACCTGGGATCTGAACTGTGCCTGTTAGTCGTACTTAGCTACTATATCTTCTTGCATACAAAACTCTGGAATATAATACACATCTTTTGTTGTGGTAAGTAACAGTCACAGCAGCTAGGGAGCTGAGCCTGCTTATTCTGCTCCTTGTGGGATTGCTGCAGATTTTATTATCGGTTTCAACTTTAAGCTGGCAAAACCTGCTCTTACCCTATTTCTCACAGGTAATGCACACTCCAATTTCCAGGTGCTTGTTTTTGGGGAAAGGTGTGCATTTGTATGCAGGGACATATGGTATTATTTCTGGAAGGGTTCTAACTTGGGTTGTCTGGCCAGGATAAATGCTTTGGTGGAAGTGGGAACACTGGTAGCTGAAGGAAGGGTGCGTTCTCGATACCTACCACACTTGTTGCAATATTAGGATTCACAGTGTGACAGCAGGACTGGTAAGGAAGAAGTGCAACTCTTTCTTCCCTTTTGAGAGCTTTAGTTTTCCAGGTCTGTGTTGTGGCCTGTAGTGCCACGGTTTCAGAATCATGGCCACAGTGCACGTGGGTGAGAGTAAAACGGAAGCATGGCATGTTGCTGCTTGCAGCTGAACTGTCAAGCAAATTAATTGAGTGTGATGCATGCGTCTGAAGAGGTGAGCAGCAGTTAGTTATAGATGGTCCACTGTTGTCAGGTTTAAAGGTGATTGTGTAATCAAAAATGTGTTCCTTTCTTGCCCTTGGTGCAGTGCATAGAGATAGTGTCCAAACTAGCTGATAAGTGCACAGTCCTGGAGACAAGGTAGATGCAAAAGGGAATCATCATTGTCACAAATGTCACTTGTCTTGGTTTCTGACGGTAAATTTTGTTCTCTAATTCAGTCTCCTCTGTTCCCATGAAACTGAATCTGGCATCACTGCATTGGTCTGTGTCCTTACCCACATATGAGAGCAGTGTGTGCCCCCTTTATGTAGGTACAGCATGCAGATCCTGCATCAAGGCTTAACTGGTGATTGTGGAATATTCAAAGTAATTTAAAATGTATGAAGTGACTTCCAGGGATCTGGGTTTTCTGTTTCCCATAGAAAAAAGAGAAAAAACTGTGGATTTTCCCTTTTACCTGAGAAGAACTTGGATTTCTCATTTCCACAGAGAGACAAGTAGACTTTGCTATTTTGCAAAAAGCTGTTTGCAGGCAGGCAGCAGAGTTCCAGCCTGCAAGGGGATGGGGGGAGTGGCAGGAGGGTGGTCAGCGGAGACGACCCAAGCAGGGTGCAGGACCTGGGGCAAATCAGCCTGTGTGGGGCCCTGCCCCTGAACGCAAGGAAGCTGGCAGCAGAGGGGAGGGAGAGGTGGCAAGCAGATGGACGTGAAGCCGGCGGCAGTGGGGAGCCACCGCACGGGTCCACCCGGCTCTGCGGGACCCCCCCCAAAGTGTGGGGCAGTAGCCGGGGCTGGGGCACTGCTGCAGGGGGCAGGGGGCTGTGTCCCCACAGCCCTGGCAGCTGAGGGCCTGCTCTGGCGAGGTTGAGGAGTTCAGGAGGCTGGGGGTGGGGAGTGAGGGGCACCAGCAGTGCCAGGGGGCTGTGGGGTGGGGGGAGTGAGAGCCACCAGCACGGCCAGGGGGCTTTGGGAGTGGAGTGAGGGCCCTGGACCCACGTCCTGGTGAGCCAAGGGGGCAGGGGGAGCTCTGATTTTTTCCATGATAAAAGCAAAAAACAAATTCAAAAACCAAAATTTATAGGTACTTATCATTTATTTTACTATAGTGATTGAGGCACTAGTAGGCTTCCAAATTGCTTTAAAATTGTAAATATATCAATAAAACATTGTGTTCAATTGATACCTGTATATATAATGGTGTTTCATTTTAACCTCAGATTTTGGGGTTTTTATCAGAGAATTTGCCATTTATTTATTTATTTATCAGGGAAAACCAGGATCCCTGGTGATTTCCTATCTGGCAATACATGTGCAAGTGGGCTCATGTTCTTCACCTGCATTGCTTTGGGTGTTCTGTAAAAGCCTACGCAGAGAGATATATGCCTGGTCCATTCTAGCTGTGGTTTCAGAGTGGGGGTGGAAAACATTTTCAGGCTTTGCTTATCCAGACATGATCTAATTCAGCAACTGTCACCTTCCTCTTTATTTATTCCTCCTGGTATCTTGACACTTAATTAATGACATTACAGTCCTCAATACCTGAAACACAAATGTAAAACTTTTGCATAAACTTTGCTGCAGTTGATTGACGAGGGGGGATTAGGATGAAGTTCAGGGATGATCCTTGCCAGTAGCATTTTGCTGTCATTTTACTGATTCCTTCTCCAGTCCTTGAGTTTTAATCTCTAGTGGGTTTTGAGCGAGTGCTGAGTTCTGTTATCCAGGCTGCAAGATACCAAAGAAACAGCTGGTGGCAGAAAAGTCCATGAGCTCTGTCACTTTTTTTAGTAAATGCTGCCTGTGTTGAGGTGCCTGCCATACATCTGTTCTTTAATAAGCTAAAATTAGACATTTGGGGTTAACAAAAATAATATGAGGTCCTATGTTTATCCTCACTGTAGCTCTTTCTGGTCAGATTGGCTCAGCATGCAACTAAAGAGGCATTTTTCTAAATGTCAGTTCAGCAAAACCCTGGAGGTCTAAACGGGGCTGGGTTCTTTCTGCCTTTGGCTCTGTCATCATAATATGCCTTCTGGGCATGGGACCTTGCTGCTAGTTTTGGTAACGGAAGCCTAATAGAATCCAGCTAGGTCTCGCATAGCGTTGTTGGCCGTGCATATTGTTTGTGAAAGAAAGATCGCAGCATGCACTGCTAACGAAGATCTGTGCACTCCTTCAAGCAAGATAGGACAGAGAAAAGCCCTAGGTTGTATGTGAATGAGATGTTCCAGGTAGAAGCCCTCCTTTAGGGAATTTGGGAAGAGATCAGAAAGTTGAGGCCTTCCTTGGCATGACCTGCTTGCTCTAGACATGATCCACCCTTCCCTTTCCAGTAGGGTGAGGAATTGCTTGTAGACAACTGTAGGATTTCTTTCATGCATGTGACCTCTGAGTGAGCAAAGACTTGTGGACCAGAGACTGATTAATGGTAGAGACCCAAACTGAGATGTGCCGTTATATGGAACGTGGGATCCGGGACCCCTGTGGAATTGAAGGTCTAATCCAAGTTTTATAATTGGTGGAATTCTGCATGGGTTTCCTTGCGTGCCAGCCATGGTCCACTCAGCATTGTCCCACATGCCTTTCCTTAGGGTTATAACTCACAGCATGGCCCACAGTCTGAGCCAGTGATGCATAGGCCATATATGTATAAGGCGGCCAAGTTCTAAAATTACTCTACCAGTAAAGCTTTAATGGCTCATCTCATTCACCAAGCCAGAAATGCTTGGTGCTTAGGACTCGAAAGCTGTTCTGTGTTTGTTTTTGTCCACTCCATGGAGCCTGTATCTTAATGCTTACATCCGGCTTTGGGTTGTGCCTTATCAAAATGTATGTAGATCTGTGCTGGTTTCCTCTGTCTTGGTAAGGTGTCAGCCATCACATGTTGAAATTTGTTCATGCAGTTTTCAAGCTTGCTGCCAGTTGCAGGTCGGCAATATGCCAGTTCCACCCAGAATCAGACAGGCTGTCATAAGGAACGTGGCTGAAATTAAATGACTTTGCACCTGATGCATTGCTCCTCTTTTGTGCTTTGGGTATGGCATAAGCAAGTTATCTCTACTTCCCCTCTGGATGTAATTACTACTCCTTGGATTTGCTTTCTGAAGATCTTGTAAATGCAGCATTGTTTTTCTTGGTGAATACCACTTTTTAACATGTATGAACTGTCGTAACTATTGGCTTTGTATAAAGGCACCTGGATATCCCTTAAAGCATGCAGGCCGTTTACTGAGACCACTAGTCTGAAAGCTTGTGAAATTCCATATCCTCTTTGCATATCACGTTGCTTTTAACAGTGTGCATGCCAGTGGTGCTCAACCTTTTGGCCCAATGGGCCAGATGAATGGCACAGGGCCAGTTGAGGCCCTGGGGCCCAGCACTGCTCCCTCTCTGACCCATGTGCTGGGATTGAGTCCTGGGGGCTAGCATTAGTCCCTCCTGCCCCCCATGCCCTGAGATTGGGATTCTGAGGCCAAGAACTGCTCCCTTCCACCCTCTGCATGCTGGGATTGGGGTCTGGCACTGCCCTTGTCTGACCCTGCATGCTGGGATTGGGCGCCCCATCCAGTGTGCAGGGTCCAGGGCTCTTTGTGGGTCCAGAAATGTTAAAAGCCTACACAGAGAGATGCCTGGTCTGTTCTGGCTGTGGTAGCAGTGCCCTGGTGTCCAAGTTCTGGATCTGGGGTGAGTCCCACAGGCCAGATCTGACCCACAGGCGACAGGTTGAGCACCCCTGGTGTACACAGCACTCATATCAAGGGAACAACAATTAGGGCTTTTTACTCTTCCATTGTGTATAAGTAGGATTGTTAAGACTATTTTAAAGGATATATAGGCAAACTCAAAGTGGAACGTAGCCGTTTTTATGAAATGAGCTTTAAAAAAAAATGCCACAGGCTGCTGTCCCGACTCTGCAGAAGCAGTTGCAGTCCAGTTCACAGGAGTCATTCTGGGGTTTCCATCAGTCATGTTTAAATCCATCGTACTTGGTTTATATGTAGTCAAAAGAGATAAAGAGGTTTTGTACCTGGAAGAAAAAATGCTTGCTCATGACTTCAAGCAGTGTTTTTTTTCAAGCCACCACATCCTTGCACTCCTGCAAACATCAATACATTTGAGGTTTGGGAGGTGGGATGGGGTGGGGGGTGGCTACTGTGATTGCGACCTGTTTTACCTCGCACTGCAGCAATCTGAGTTCTTTTGAGGTTTGATGCGGTTGTATGGATGGATATTGGCTTGCATTTTTTTTTTCTTTTCTTTACAGAGATAAGGGATCAAGAAAAAGGGAGAGCAGCTCTTTAGGATTCGGGTAGGTCTCCGTGCTGCCTACCCTATTTAGAAAAGCTAGAATACTACATTTATATGTAGAGGAAGGACACAAATTGCTGCTGATTTGGGTAACTGGCATTTTAAAATCTGGGCATAGTAAGAAATACTAAGTTTCCATTATGGAATGCAAAAGCATAAGCTGCAGGCGAAGTTATGGATTTGCCAAGTTAAACAGTGCTGAATTTCAACTCTCCAGATTTATTATTCACAAAACTAGATAATGATTAAACTCCTTGTAGGAAGGAATGAGCGCTTGCATATCCAAAGGATTACTCTGATTCCCCTTCCATCCTTAACAATCATCCCCAGATGAGCAGGGTTTGTGTGCACAGCAGATAGGCCAGGGACAGTTCCATTCTGAATTAGGGTGAATGGATTTTTAACCAGTAGATAGTGCTTGCAATTGAAATACTTAGCCTGCTTATCTCTTAGGAAGTTTAATCCTAGTTTATTAAAAGCACCTTCTCTAGTCTTCCCCTTCGGCATGAGAACTTTGTTTCTCTCTCAGTGTCTCTTTGCTACAGAAAAAATGCCAGAGATTGAGAAATCTCTTGTATTGAGAACCTAAGTGGCTGCATACATGTGGTTTTATACTAAAATTCAGAGCTAAGTAACACATGCTGTTCCAAACAGGATTCTGATAGATTTTTTTTGAAACTTCATTAGGTTTAAAGAGCAGGTTGTCTTTGGGCTGTGGTTCAACAAAGTGCACTGTCCCAACATAGACCTTTGAAACCGTACTCCTCACTTTTCATACGCTAAAGTCTGAGTCACCTGTTCTCCAATAAATTACTGACTGTTGTCAGTCCAAATTACTGAGAAGTTACAGCTATCATTGGAAAAGTATGAGATCGATGTGCCAGAAGGGGTTTTCAACAAATTGGATGTATATTTTTAGGACCTGGTAGAGCTAATGATGCCTCCTTCACCTTTAGCCTAAAATCCCCTTTTAATGAGGAAAACCTTTTACTTTGGTCCTGGTAAATAGCTAAATAATTGGCAAATACTTCTATATTTCTTTGTAAACATGGTGTTTGAAAAAAATTACTACTCATGTTTCAAAAATGTGTTTCTCTGAAACTTACTACGAGTTTCAGATTGTAGCAAGTTTAAGCACTTAACAGAGGGGAGAAGAAAAAGTATAGATGGTGTTTTTGTTTTTTTTTTAAAAAAAGAATCTTTGAAGCCATTTTAAGAAAGCTTTGGCAGTGTTAAGAGTTTTTTGTGATGCCCATTGGTGTTGATTTCCTGCCTTATTCAAAATCATGTCAATGAAATGTATATACCAAACCACTGTATTTCCTCTGTGTTATACATGAGCCCAGAGACTTTTGTACCTGGTGGATTGTTATAAATCGAGATGTTTTTGTATTGCGGGGGGAAGAAGTTGCTGAGGGGTGGCCTGTCCTTGGCCAGAATCAAAAAATCGCTAGCAACATGCCAGTAATCTGAGTGCTGCAACTCATGCGTTTCTCCTTACACCTAAAGGAGAAACCCAGAACCAGAGAGCCATTCCAAACATACGAATGCTCCATTTTGCTATTGATGCTGACCCCAAGATAGAGCTTTGTCTGCTGTTTGTAGTTTTGAATGCCACAAATCCCTATGAAAAGGCAGTCCTCTGAAGACTGGCAGGGGGGAAATTGCACCGTCTTATTGAACAGATCTGTCCTTTTATGCATGTGATCACCATCAAGAGTTTAGAAGCAAATCTCTGTACCACTTTCAAGTTCTGTTTGCTGTGCTGCATTGTAGAATTAAAATTGAGATGGGCTGAATTCCTCCTTCCCTGCATCAGTGCTACTTGTGGAAAGCCAATAAATGTATGCCTCTGCATTGAAGTTGGCCAGCCCTGGCATCCTGAGGGTCTTATTGGTCTTTGGGATGCTGACTGGTGATGTGCATGAAGGAAAACCTCAGAGTCTCAGATCCTCGCAGGAGTTTGCAAAGCTAGCAGTTAGATACATCCCTTAAAACAGTTCATGTGGGCAGTGAACACGCCATGCCACCGATTCCTCGGTCCCTTTTTGGAGGAGAAGTGCACGTGTAGAGCAGTGCCGCTGCTTGCATCACACTTAGATCAAAGGCTGCTTTAGCACTGGGGAATCTTGACACACAGCTGCTTTTAAGAAATGAACTCTCTTAAAGCCAGCGGGAGATGCAGGTAATTGATAGCTGTAGAAATTAAGCTCTTAATTTTTGTTAAGATGCTTTGTAGCGGCTCTCTTTTCAACCCCTGGGTTGAAATTAAGTTTTGTGGGTCTTGTGCGACAGTATAATGTAAGTTTATATAAAGTGCTAGCGGTTTCTGAGTATACAAAAGCAGCTGACAGGCTTAACTGAACATATCTGGGCATCTCCTGCAATGCAGTAGATTGGTCTGTGCATGTAGCGACACAGATCTCACTGGGTTGTGTTGTGTTTTGTTTTGTCAGTGATGATGGCCAAAGAAAAACCACCAATAACCGTTGTTGGAGATGTTGGAGGAAGAATCGCCATCATTGTGGTATGAAACTGAAAGAGGACTGCAGGATGGGATCGTGTGCTCCTAACCCAATTTTTAAAATGTGTATGCTAAAATATACATGGGAGTCCTGTTCTGGTGTAGCAACTGACTGCTACAGTACTGAAATATTAATGTGCCTGTTCTTTTCAGTTTTCCTACTAAATATCAATGCTCATCCCGCCGTTCAAATGGTTATATGTCCTGGAGATATAAGCCCTGAACTGTTCCTTGCGAGTTATGCCTACCCATGTTGCATAAACCCAGCATACACAAACAAATCTGTAAAAGTCTAAATGTCTTGCTGCTCTTTTCATTCTCATCCTGCTGCAGGATGTTGAAATGAGTGTGTTTTTTATCTTTTGAGCAGAAGGTTTTGGCAGATGAAGGGACACCATCAAGGCCTTCTCTGTTCTAATTATTGTTTCTGCCCCAAACCTCCTGTGTGACCTTGAACAAGCCAGAGTCTCTCCCTGCCTTACTTTTCATATTCACCCGCAGCAATGTGCTACCTCTCAAGGGTGCTGAGGCTTAGTTCATCATTTCAGGGGCACTTCAGAATTGCACTGATGAGCAGCACAAAAATGCCTGCAAATAAATATAATGACATGGATTAGTAAAGGCTTTGTTTTTGGCTTGGATGGGTTTTTTTGATCTTCACCGGTGGCTGAGGTGTAACTACTGTAGCTTTCGAAAATAAATATGGATTCTACAGCTGCAGGAATGGAGAGAACCAAATCTTACTCTTACTGTGACATGTAGTAGCCTTCTGATCCTGATGTCTTTTTCCCTCAGGATGACATTATCGATGATGTGGAAAGCTTTGTAGCTGCTGCAGAGATCCTGAAAGAGCGAGGCGCTTATAAAATTTTTGTGATGGCCACTCATGGGCTTTTGTCTGCAGATGCTCCCCGTCTGATTGAAGAATCCTCTATTGATGAGGTATGGCCCCCTGTCTTGTGTGTAGGCTAGTTAAAAAATGCCAGGCGAAGAAATGCATTGGCTTTTGGCTTACAAGAAGCAGCGTTCCAGGGTCACCCCTACAAAACAGCTTCCATTTCACTCTTACCTGGTAGAATTTGTACTGAAGTAGGAGCACATGCTTAAAAATCCCTGTTCTTCACTGGGATTCATTTGAGGACAGATTTTTGAAGCTTGCTTTGGGTTAAGCCTAACCTCCCTCTGGCTTTAAGTGTATTAGCTGAGGCTATTGATTACTTTTCCACGAGTGATTACAATTCACCTGATATCCTTGTGCTGATGAGGAGAACCAAACTGATATTTGTTAGTTGGTGGGAAGGCCAAAGAGCCCAAGCATGGAGCACAAGCCTTTAACCATAAACAAGGCTTCCAGTGTAGGTATCAGAAATGACTTGTTTTTCATTATGTTAGAATGGGGGTGTCAAACCTACAGTCTGCAGGCTGGATGTGGCTCCTGGAGCTGTCATTAGGCCTTCAGGGCTCCCAGAGGGGCTGGGAGTTTGGGGCAGGGCCCACTGTGAAAGCTCTGGATACAGAGCCCTGCTGGAGACGCATGTCAGTGGTGAGGGGTGAGCAATGGCTGTATTGACTCCCATGGCCAGAGCTCACCCTGTTGCTGAATCCAGACCCAGTCTGTTGGGGAAAGCTGAGTTTGACACCACTGTTATAAGTGTGAAAAATACCTTTCATTTAGTTTTGGTTCAGAGACAAATGACCCTTTTAAGAATCATTTCTCTGTATAGATCCCCCGTCTGCCTAGAAGAGTGTCAATCCCACCATCTAGGCTGAATGGAGAGGCTACAATACAGCCACCATTTCAGGAGCAACTCTTTCACTGCCAGTTATGGTATTGGCTTTAACCTCCATGCACTGTCCAAAGGATGAGGAGCTGGGATTATATCTGTGTCCTTGGTGCGCTATAGGTAGTTAACTGTTCATACAGACACTTCTCTCTTCCACAAGTTCAGCATGTGGTTGCTTTTCTGTAGTATAGCCCTTCTGGGTATTACTCTGGGTTCTGTCTCCCATTTGGAGGTGGGCCGCTGGGTGGTTTTATGCATCAGAACAAGTCATTTAATCTGACTGTAAGCAGCCAAGAACCTGTGAGTTTAAATAGATTTACTAGCCCTCAGGGAGTCCATTGGTGGAAAATATTGTTTGCATCATCCCCTTCCACAGATGATTAGACTTGAAGGACCTCATTTCAGTCTTTGTCTTCACATATATAATTCAGATGGCACCTATCTGCATGTCCTACTAAGAAGCTTCAGTTAAGAATGGCTCCTTAAATCATTCATGAGTAGCAGTTGGATCTGAATGGATATGTTGATCATGCTGTTAATGTTGGGGTTTTTTGGTAATCTGCAGGTGGTGGTGACCAACACAGTTCCTCACGAAGTGCAGAAGCTGCAGTGTCCCAAGATAAAGACAGTAGATATTAGTTTGATCCTCTCTGAAGCCATCCGCCGAATCCACAACGGGGAGTCCATGGCCTATCTCTTCCGTAACATCACTGTGGATGATTAGATTCTAATGATGTCCCTGTCCTGGGTTTCTTAATGAGAAGGGAGAAGGAAAAGTGCATGAAAAAAAATGCCATAAATTTAGAGAGAACACAGCTCTTCTTTTTTTCTTTCTTTTTTGTTTGGGGGGGGGG